ATTAAAGAAGTTTATTGTTATCAGTTTGTTAATAAAAGACAAAAAAAAAACCTTTTTGTGCTCTTCATTAAAACAACATAGTTTTAATATTACAACATTTTGGAAAGACCACTTATCCTGTTTCTCATCGTGTAAGAGAAAAAGAAAATTAATAAGCCATTTATTACTACCAGCTAGGACCTTTGTGTTTCATGTGTAATAAAATAATTTTAATTCAGATGCTCAAAAAAATTAATTTAACACAGCAATAGGAATACATCTTTCGGCACCATTCAAATGCCATTTTTTTTAGGCAACAGCTAGGAAATCTTTCACTCAAAAAATCAGAGAGCTGTTGGAAAAAGGACTCTACTGGTCTCTGGCTCATTTTTATTCAATGACAGCATGATTTAGAAAGGCAATAGGGCTCTTTCCTCTCTCTGAACCTCAAAAAGTCTTAGTAAGACTTACCTCCATAGTCTCCTGATTTAACACCGCAGCCTAGCTACCTAAGTACAGAGTCAGTACCACAGGTTTTCTACTGGGTGAGAGGCACATCTTCCCAGCATCAGAGCTGTGACATGATGCTGAGCCTTCCTCATTCTCTTTTGACTCACCCACCATTCATTATCACTCAAGTCCTCATAAATGTTCAGGGCTCACTAATTAGGACAGAGAAATCCTTCTATTAAATTATATTCATAAAAAAAAAAGACCTTTGAAAGCCACTGACGTGCAAGTTGAACATATATGGTGAAAATAATGGGTGATAGTTTATGCAGAAAAAAAGAGCTGTCAATGATCTTTAGTGAAAGTTCAGCATTTCCTAACTAATGTGCTGACTCTTCCACATAGACTAATCACAGAGCTTTGGTTTCACTTTTCTGAAAAGCAACATAATTTGTCTCAAAAGAGCAAACACTTTGGAACTGAAAAACCTGGATTCTACTTTTGCTAAGTACTACCTGTGAAAACTTGAGCCTTAATTTAATTTCCCTGAAAATGGACATTTTCAGGGAAATTAGTTCTCAGTGTTGTTACAAAGTTTAAAAGAAATAAGGAATGGGTCCTCACAGATAGATGAAATTCAATCCATGGTACTCATCATTCAAAAACATCTTTCGTGGGCCAGCCCTGGACTGAGAATGTACACGTGGACAAGCCCTACTCCTCGCTCTGAGAACACACACGATTTAGTGGGAAAAGCAGGCACAGAAATAAAGGGTGGTGATTCTTAGCCCTGGGTGCAGTTATACATGTGTGGAAATGTTGAGTTGGGGTACAGAGCAGCACGTCAGCTGTGCTGGGGAGGTGGGGAGGCATATCATAGAATGCTTCACAGAAGAGATATTTGACAGTGTCTAGGAAAATTATAGCTACAACGGGGAGGGTGGCCATTTGTGAATAGGTTGTTTGTTTGTTTGTTTGTTTGTTTTATGACAAAACACATTCCAAGTACTTAGCTCTCCATTGTTGAAAGCTTTAAGTTTTAGCTGTGCTTTCCACCCTCTGTTCTTTCCACTGCAGTTCTGAGTTCCATCTGGTTGGCCTCTCTGCCTGTGGAGGTGAAAGAGCCAGGCAGTGTTTGCCTATAATTTCTTAGTCATGGTAGAACTAGAACTAGCAACATGCTGTCTATGGAGCCAATAATATGGAGCCAATAATATGGGAATAACAAAAACTTCCAAGGGGAAGATATTTGGCATATATTTTAAAGTACCAATTATTATCACCATCAGGTAGCTCCTAATACCTACTGCAAGTATTCCCCTTGCAAGTACTGCTTAAATGTAACTGTCATGGAATAACAAAAAGTTTCTTGTGCCCAAAGGTCTTGACTGTCAGATAATTCACCGTAATTGTCTCAATAGATTAAGAGAGTAACTACAAGTTGTAAAAGTCTCTGTTTGTTCCAAATTTACATGGTAGGAGAAACTGGCTAACTTTGCATGTGTAATATAAAAGAAGTCAAATTCTCTGAGCATTTCATGGTACGTTTTGCATTTGATAGTGTCACTAAAACTTTAAGAGGGACATTATTGGAATAATTTAGGGGAGAATAATGAAGTAGTTAGTTTAAGGTGGAGATAAGTAAAGTGAGATTACTGAATATTTCCTTGTTTTAATTATGTGGGCTAGGCTAATAGTGAGGAAGTTATCAGAAATTCCAGTTGTCCTTAATGTTGTTTAGCGAGCATCATTGATCTTTACCCAAGAAGAACTGTTGGTACTTTCTAAACTGGTAGAAGATAAATGGTAAAGAAATGGATTAACAGTTTAAACAAAAGAAATGCAATTAGCAAATAAGCATTTAGAAAAAAATGATCATTCTCACTAATAAACAGAGAAATAAATATTCATAAATCTGAAGTGTTATTTGCACTGATTAAATTATCAGTTTTTAAAAATTCTGATGTCAGTGTTTGTAAGATTGGCAAAACTGGTATGTGTCTGTATAATAATTTTTCTAGGCAATAAAATGGTATAAAGCTTTTGAAAAGTAATTAATAACATAAATCAAGAACCTAACAAATGTTTTTTTTTTTTTTTTAATTTGGGGAAAAACATTCAAAGGAAATTGTCAAATAAAAAAAAAGCTAATTGATATCAGTATATTCACTGCAGCATTGTCTATAATATTAAAACAATAAAAATAACTCAATATCTAACCATTAAAGTATGGTTAAATAAATTATATCTTCTAGGAAGTAACATCATATAACACAAAAATAACAATTATAGAGACCCTATCAGATCTGCTTGAATTATAATGTAAGGGGAAAAATGCAAGATATGTGGTTATATATATTCTGTGTTTATTTAAAACGATATAAAACAAATGTGGGCACATAGAGAGTCAGTAGCATAGAATAGGAAGTACATACAATTGGCAACAGACAGCCGTTAGTTTTAATTCTGGCTCTATATTTGCAAGCTGTTGATTTCTAACAACTTATTTAAGTTCTATGTGATTTACTTTCTAATACATAAAATGGAGATACTTAAACCTACCTTATAGGACAGCTACAAGAATTAAATTAGATAATTCTGTAAAGCTGAGACAAAGTAATGGAATTATGTGTGAATATTTTTCTCTTCTTTTAATTTCCATTAATTCGATAATGTTTTTGCAATAGAAAATATATTTAAATTTAATATTGATCACTAAAATTGTACTCACAAATATACACCTTATAGCGTTGACTATATGGCTAACTAAAGTGATATAAATAATAATTTTTATTTAATATACAACATCTCAAAGTACACACTGCTAAATCATATTATTTATTTATTTTTGTGTATTTATTTAACAAACACTTATGTAACTTTTATTACCATGTAACAGGCACTATTCAAAACACTTAATTTATTGAATCATTATAACAACCCCATGAGGAAGGTACTATCACATTCCAATCTTACAGATGAAAAACTGACATACAGAGAGCTTAAGTAACTTATTCTAGGTTGGGATATGGAGTGAAGGTGGAATTTGAACTCAGGCAGTCTGGCTACATGGTCCAGCTCCTGAATGTTATGATACTTTTCAATTCATTGATCAAAACATGTCCAGTGAATATATGTGGTTCTTGGCACTGTGAGGGATGCCAGGAAACAAAGTATGCAATGCTTAACTTGAAGATCGTTCTCTAGGGTTTAGCTACAGACCCCAAAATTCTGCTCTCTTAACCTCAGATAAATGCCATCCACAGCACAACTAAATGCTATTCACAGAGAGCAACCTCTTCGCACTCCTATCAACCAAGGTTCCAAATAAAAATCTACATTCTACAGCTTGGCTTTCTGTGGCAATGTCAGTGTTTTCAGAGTATGTGCTGAGAAATCCTAGAGCTGAGTGAAGGAGTATAATGTTCTGCAAACATTTGACCCAAGTTTCTCTTTATACATATATCTTTGTATATACACTTTCATACACTACACGTATATGTAACTAATAGTACAACTCAAATATTAAACTAATATTACCAAATAAAATTATACATTGAGATATGTTTTATCATACATTTTAACACATACAAAACCCACAATGCATTCATTTTTGCTGTTGGATTGTCATTGCGTGTATCTCAGATGAAAATGTCCCTTTATCTCTTTCTAATTGAATATACTGAAACTGCAAAGCCAATTCTTACAAACCTGAAAGTTTCTTACCATTTGGGAGATGATATAATATAATAGTTAAGAATAATGTCATCTAGAATAAGACAGTCTAGATGACATTTCAAGCAAAGGTATTTACCACATGACTTTAGATAAGCTTCTGAACTTCTCTATGCCTTATTTTTCTCATCTGTTAAATGGAACAGTGCATACTCATAGGGTTGTAAAATAGAAAAGATGTAAACATATAAACTTTGAAAATTTTTTAATAAATATAGTGCTCAATAAATGTTAGATATTATAATTTGTGTTGCAACCACTTATCTTGTTACCATGCAATCAAAACAAAACGTGAAGTTACATTAACTTCTAAAGTTGCTATGAAGCTGGAAGCCTCATTTTTCAAGTTTTTATGTTCATCCAAAATTGTTACTAAGTGTATAAGTGTTACAAATTTGAACTAATAAATTTATACTAGTTAAATACTACTACAATTTGTCAATTCATTCTTTTAAAAATTTTGTTTTGGGAAAAAAATATCCCGCTTTAAAAAAATAATACATTGCATCATAATGAAATTTGTCTTTATGCTCTATGTTGTCTTATTCCAAAGGGGAGAAAATTACCTTTTTCAAATATATTTGTTTCTTTTCATGTCAACCTGTCATTTAAAGATTACTTTTAACTGATCAAATTATATGGAAATAGTAACGAACCCCTTATTTGGTCATTTGTATTTCGGGGGCATGTTCTACTTATCACCAAAGAATAGTGGTTTAATCTCTACCTATTTCTTTCAAGATTGGTTCTTTTCTTGACCACAGGACTGATTAGAATGCATGAAGACATTTTAAATAAATAACCCATGTTTTTTTTTTTTCTTTCTTTTCTTGCAGTCACTCCCAACACAGCACTGCAACCCGCCAGCCTTCAGTGACTCTCCAACGGGCTATCTCACTGGAAGGGTAAGATAAGAGTAATATAGAGCCATCTCTTACACTAAACTGCGCAGCTTTATCACTGCGAGCATAAAGAAAGGTTCTCCTTTCTTTCTCTCGCTACCCTCTCCCTTGTCCTCTCTCTCTCTCTTCCCCCCCACCCCCCGCTTTCTCAGCAAGTATCTGTGAAGCTTATATTTCCTAAAACACTGCTACAAAGTATATTTAACAATTCATATAAGATTTCTTCTTTCCCTTCAGAGGATTCTTTGTCTAGTGAGAGTTACAGAAATACAAACACATATTTGTATACAAACACATATTTGTATAGTGTAAGAATCACACAGGAGATACATATAAGGGAGTAAAGGAGGATTCAGGAAAGATACCTGACTGAGAATGGGAATCAGATAGGGAATGGCCAGCAGAATGGTTTCAAAGTTGATGTAACTCTCAATTTGAGAACTGAAGCATCTATGGAAGTTTGCCTGAAGCATCTATTGGAAGGAAAGGTACTCTGAGCAGAAGAAAGAGCATGTACATAAACATGACCACATGAGGCCATAGAGTAATTCAGTTCTGAGGCATAGTGTGTGTAAGTCAGTGGAGATGAGAATGGAGGTGTTGGCAGAGTGGGCTTAACAGATGTAGAGGACTTAGTATTTTGTATTTCTAAATTCCCCAACCAGATAAAAGCTGGAAAGGCTGGGGAAAAGGAGCTAATATTTTCTTCCACTTACCTTATAATTGCAACTGGTTTAATTGAGAACACTTAATTGATTAATATATAAAAATTTAATTATTTTCTTTTTCCAGTATATTATCACCTATGCTTTATTTGACCCTACTTGCCAATTAAGCTTCCTTGATGGCATTTCAATTCAAACCTCCCACTTTATTTATTAGTCCTCTTCATTTTAAAATCTTATGTTTTATTCAGACCTCTGTCCCTCCTTCCAACATCATTAAGACTTGGTTTCTACCAAAATGTTCTGGAGTTGATAGAGGTGTGGTCTGCTTGTGTGTGTGTGTGTGTATGTGTGTGTATATGCTTGAGCACGGGCTCTCTCTCTCTCTTTCTCTCTCCTCCCTCCCTTTCTCTCTTTCTCTCTCTCTCTCTCTCTCTCTCTCTCTCTCTCACACACACACACACACACACACACACACACACCACCCTCTATATCTTTCTTTCTCTTAGATTTATCCTTTGATAGTACTGGGCATAAGGAAGGAAACGGGAAATGGCATTTCCTTACCATTCTACTACGTTTATCTCCTTTTTGTTGGTTGTCTCTGGCAATGTAGCCTGGGTGGGTAGAGAACCAAACACACACTGATGCTATGAGACTCAACCAACTCCTCCAGCCGTGTGGTGTCCCAGGAGACTCAACTATCTTTTTCAAAAAACCCTCAGCTTTAGCACTCCGTAGTCTTCTGTTGTGCCCACCACTTTGCCCAAACTGCAGCAATCCCTCACAAGCCCCCTTTCTCTCACCTGTCCTCAGCAGCTTCCAATGTGAGGCTTGCATAAACAGCAGCAGCCCTCTTTCCTACCCCTCAGGTAGAACTCACCAGGGATAGTCCTTGCCTCCTCTCTCCCTGATAACATTCTCCTCTCTCCCCAGGGTTCTTTTCTACCCCCAGTAGCAATAGGGCAAGTCAGCAAACACCATGGCTAAGTGGACATCTACCTGGGAGGGAAATGTTAGTCTTTCTCTCATGGAACAGCATACATTTTATAAATACTTTTAATGGAGTGCCTTTTCTTGCCTTCAGCTAAGGAGACCCATTGAATATCCCTAAACCCTTGGGAAGGTGAATGTAAGGAATGTGGCCTGTCCATGAACACTGTACTCCCTTCTCCTGCTAGTGCTCCTCTACTGTTTTTGATAATGAAGAATATTAAACTGCTTTAATTCTTCTAGTTAAAAAAAAAAAAAGCAAACAAATAAAACAAAAGAAATAACAGAAATGGAGGTGGTAGGCTAAATATGAACTTAGCTCTAGAGAATTAAGTAACTTATTTCTCAACAGAACACTCTATTCATTGTAACATTTGTTCTATTCCACTTTTAAAAAAAGAAAAAAGATACAAGGCATTCTCAATCAATATTTCAGAGCATTTGATTCTGTAATAATATATAAGGTAGTCTAGATCATGGATCCAAGCTGACTCCCTGAATTTAAATCCAGGCTCAGAAACTTAGTAGTTATGTGAAAGCAAGTTACTTAGTTTCTTGTGCCTCAGTTTCCTCATCTGTAAAATGTAGATACTAATAATATTTCTCTGTAGAATTTTTTCAAGAATGAAATTCATGTATATATATAATTTTTATAATAATACTGACATATGTGTGTTTTCTATAGTAATTGTTGTTCTTATATAAAATATAAGACATATTCTCATTTATATTAAATAAGGATTTGTTAAAACAGTATCTTCACTGTACTTTGGAGAGACATATTCTTATATGCATAGCTAATAATCATTTGTGGAAGCACTCCAAATCATTATTTGAGTCTGCTTCATTTCCCTGTTAATATTTATATAAAAATATTTTAATTAACAAGATTATATGTAAATGCTTATTAAACACAGTAAAGAATTACCTAAGCCTTTCTACATATCAGCTTATCTTCAGCTCCAAAAGAAAGAATTTAGGACCAGAATAAGTAATGGTCTTAAATGTCTTAAATTTCTGATACACTCACACACACACACACACACACCCCTATATTAGAAATCTTAAGACAAAGAGAATTCTTAACACATGAGAGGAAACAGTCTCCCCAGCCTGCAAACCTTCTGCAATTGGACTTGAGAATGTTCATCAGTCAGCACCCACAGTTTGTGCAGCCTTATGACCACACACTCCATACCACTCCCCTCAATTTTCTTTTTCTGGAAAATGCCATAGTTTAGAAAAACTCTTCCACAAAACTCAGTCATTGGTCACATCCTCCAAAAGACTGTGATCGGTTTTGAATTCTCCACATTAAATCAGATATGTGGAAAGAGTCAACGAAAGGACATCCAGAGTTAGCAAAGGGATGGGCAGCATGCTATCAATAAAACATTGGCGGGGTTAAGATTCCATATTGACAGGGAAGGGAGCGTCATTGGGTGCTTAATGAGATTATATTCAAAATGTGCAACTTGATACGAAAAATATAATACAAATTCATGGATATTCCTTTGAGGGAAGAGAAAATAAACTAACATTTATTGAGTGCTTATTAGGTGGTAGGGTATAGATCTCTACACATATTTATCTATTTATCTACCTACATACCTACCTACCTACCTGCCTATCCATCTATCTACCTACTTATTCATCCAATTTTGTTTCCAAAATATTCTTATGAAATAGGCATCCTATTTTCTAAACTTCAATTCACAAAGAGGTTAAGTAATTTTCCCAGAGCACTTACATAGAAAGTAGCACAGCTTGGATTTCAAATCAAATTTGACTCCACTGTTCAAGTCCATCCCCTGTAATGCAGCATGAAGAGGCTTTATTGAGCTGGTCATGACATTCATAAACCACATTCATGCCAAGTTAGACATAGTGAAGAATTTCCCAGGGGAAAAATTATAAAGAACTGAAACTGACTCTAAGCCTAGAAGTCATTAAATAGAATTAATAACCTATCATTTGGAATGACTCTGGAGGTCCAAGGGCATGCTAGGTAGTTGAGGTGTTGTTTGTGGTAGACGTGAGGGTGTGGAGGCTGAGCGTATCACTGGTCTCTACCTCGCCTTCCTTGTTCCTTATGAAGACCATTTTTGGCTGGGTGGCTGTCAGTCCATATTTTGGTCATTAACACAAAGACTTCCTCCAGCCATGCCAAATAATGTCATTTTCTTCTACAGCTACTTCCAAACCTTTTCTTTCTTCTTATTCACAAAATTATATTAGCAGTTTGCCAACAAGCATTCATTAAGCATTTTATACTGTTTCACAATAGAACGGAATGACCTGTGTGATAAATGCAAGCAATAAATCTAATTCTCTGCTAAGATGAAGCCAAAAATGTGAAGGCCTTACCCTGACTTTATAACACAAAAGTGACTCTTTTTCTAAAAATTAAAAATAGGATTCTCAGCTACACTCTATTGTTGACTGGTATAAAGCAGTTTGCCTCTAATGAATAATGCACTAAGAAAAATATTCTATTCCCTACAATCATAAAAGAAAACTGACTCTTCTATCAAAGAATTGGTTTTGAACTGTGGCCTCTCTGCCATCTGTTACTATTAATCTTAAACAGGACCCTTCCCCTCTAAGCATGTTTTTCTCCTCAAAAGGAGAAGAGCATAGGACCTACCAACGTTCTGTAAAAGTAGCAAGTACATATTAGACCCTCAATAGTACCAAATATCCTGAGAATACAAACAAAATTTTATTTTTATAGCCTAGATTAATTTGAAGATCCAATTTGAACATTTGTTATTTATGTAAGACAGCTCTGGATATAACATAAAATGTTTAAAGTAGAAATAATTTGCATTGCTGAAATATTTAGAAGGGAATACCTCAATAATTCTCTACAAAGCCCAGAACACTCAAGTTCATGCTATATGTATTTAGCTGTCCATAAGATAGAGAGAGAATGTGGCATACAATCATTGTCACTGAATGAATACTGCAAAAGTTGTTTTTCACTCTGCATAGGCCAATTGGTCTTTAACAAGTTTCCCATTAAGGTGTTATACTGCTGAGTGTAGGCAATCAACTGAAATTGGAAATTTCATTATTTCAAAACTCTCTTTCCTGATGCTTTCATGAAATCAACTACACAGAATATTTTTTTAAATGAATGTACTTTAAAAGGCCATGTGTTTATATATTTTTCACCTAAGTTGCTATTAGCTTGACATAAAATAAGTGACAATATTTCAGATTTCCAGTTAATTTGATCCGTGGAGACAACAAAACTGTCTAATTGAGCTACTACTTAGAGTTACTGCTATTTTTTAAATTGGTATCTGAATCATCTATACCTATGCCAGACATAATGAGGCA